ACCGGGGGGGGGGGGGGGGGTTACTTAATGTAGCGAAACCCATCACCAATAGCAGGAAGGAAAAAACAGACTAGTGCCACAGTTCTGACTTCCTGTTTGGACCAGGAAACAACCAACCAACCGGAAGATGGAATTAATTTTTTTATAACATATTGAAATGTAAAGTGGAAATGTTCATACACATGAGGTGGGATGTGGTGCAACTGAAGATAAAAAACGAATCTGAACTTCCAGCACTTGAATAAACCATACTGAATGACTCCACATAAAGTATTATAGTCATGATCAATAAATACAGTCAATCACTTTTTCATTTTGTGTGAATAATAAAGGGGGGCTGGAGAGGGGGGATGATAGCACTGAAGGTTGCAGCAGGAGCAGCAAGTGAGTGTAGAGGAGCATTAATCGTTAAAACACATGGTTTGCCAGCATTTTTCTTGTTACATGCTTAACAACCATTCAATAATCTTGAGAAAGGGCACCCCGGGATGGCAGGGTTGTAAGATTGTATATAAAGGAGAGTTATTTTGTTACCCCACCTATGGAGGTTACCTCACCTACCTGAGGTCCCCCACCCCCATGTAAACAGGCCCTAACAATACATGTACAGTTGTAGACTAAAAAGACTTTATAACTGCGACCAAAGATGGATTAAAATGCTCTGGTCAAATTAAGTCTTTGTAGCCACTAGCATCATGGCTTAATTGACATTGACAAATATCATCTTGATTAAAATGATTAATCAAGTCAATAACCACAATTTGATTAGGTTCAGTAATATTATTGAACATAATCAAACTCACCCAAAACTGATGAACTGACTGTTCATCACAAAAGTTTTAGCATGGGCATATATCGTTCACTTATATTGACTCACATGAGCGGAATCAGCAATGCAGTTTAATAAAGCACATAGAACTGTTTGATAATTAAAGTCAACATGATTTTGATAGATCAAACAAAGTTTCATTGTTAAATTATTATATCAAAGATCACATGTTTGTTTAGAGCTCTTTTAACAATGGACATCCTTACTATCTAATTTCAGGGAAGTGAGAGTTTTGCAAAATGCTTCAACTGATAGACTGTTTTAATCTTGCCACTCCATTTTGATCAACATTTCTTGACACTTTTGCCACCTTGGCTATATAATCTACACTGTTTTGTCAAATATATGGGTTACAGTACACCTCAAAAGTAAGTTACCAGCCTCTCATGAGACGTGAATCGTGTCACGGGCTACACAATTCATTTCTTGTGCCACATGATTCCTGTAGTGCGCTATGCGATTCATGTAGTGCACCATGAACTAAAAATTGTAACTATCATGGCCAAAATTCTTGAGCAATTCCGAGACTCAGTGGTACAGCTATACCAGGACTAACACACAAACAAATTTTTACCTATGCTTCTCAAACTCATTAATAATTCATAAAGAACATTCAAAGGAAATTAATGTTTAATGAGTGTTTGGATATCAGATGAAAAACTGCTCATTTTTGCATCGGCATTCCTTAATTTCTCCTTCAAAAATGATTTTGTTTGAGAAGAAATATCAAACATTCGACACAGTGTTTCATCACCAGATGAAACACCTCGAAGTTCGTCAAAAATACTCCACTGCGCGTCGTATTTTCAACTCACTTCCCAGATGAAACACTGCATCTCATGTTTGATATATTACATCTAGTGTAGACTGTTGTGTTGTGTATTTTGTGGACGCTTGGCATTTAAATATTTGTGCAAAACATGCTTTTAAAAAAGTCAATTTAAAACCCCTGCACCACCTTGAAAACTACATTTTTTTCTAAAAACTTTGAGATAAAGCTAAAAAGCTAAAAATTTAGCTTCACTTGTAACTGCCTGCAGGTTTTGTTAAACGCTTCAAGCTTAAATGAATCGTAGACCGATTGGGAACACTCCCAAAAGCACTGTCATAGCTTTGACTTCCTTTAGACAAACAAATGTTCCAGCGAACTCTACCAGAACAAATCTATATTGGACATTTGAAAACCATACAGTTCATTGACCTGTTTTTAAAGTTTATGCCAGAAAGTTTATCGAAGCACTGAATACTGAATGTTTTCATAATATGTGGTATACAAAAACAGTACTTTAAGAGTAGGTTTTTAAATTACACATGTTTTGACACTGTGCAGATTTGTGATTTGCTGTCATGCAAAAAATGATATTCAGCGAATGCACTGTTGCCTTCTTTGGCCACTGTAATTTGTTAAATTCAAGACAATTTTCTTTCACAAATCAAGCAGAAACTGGTGTTGAAAGCTATAAAGAACAAATTAAGCTAACGTTATTTCATGATTGTAAGCCAAGTTGAATTCTTAATAAAGATGCTCTTGATATCTTGTCGGCGAAAGATGCCACTACGCATGAACTACAACTACACACATCACAAGAGCTGACATTTTTTCTTGAGAGAGACTCATCGCTATGCAATTTGCAGTATATTTGATTCTTTTCATGTTGGTTTGCTCATTCCAAAAATCACAGAAACTAGAAGCGGCTTTCACGTTTTGGCATTTCAAACCAAACATCATGATCAAATGTAGAGCAGAAATGTCAATCGCTAACAAATCCGAAAAGTCAGAAACTCCAATTAAACAGTGTGCAGTGTGATTGACAACTTAAAAGAAAGCTTCTTGAAAGAAACTTAACCAAAAATCTAAAGCCCGTTTACCTCAGTCGTTGAGGTAAGGCTACGAGAAAATTTTGGCTGGTCTC